GTGGCTTGGGAGGCTGAGCCAGGAGGATCATGAGTTCAAAGCCAGCCTCGCAGCAGGTAAGGTGCTAAGCAATTCAGTGAGATCCTGTCTCTAAATAATATACAAAAAAAAATACTACTGGGGATATGGATCAGTGGTCAAATGCCCCTGAGTTCAATCCCTGGAACCCCCTCCCCCAAAAGTTTCTTTATGGGATGATGAAAATGCTCCAAAATTAGGTACTAATAATAGTTTATATTTACTAATAACATATACATTAATATATGCTAAGAATCACTGACCTGTACTTCAAAGGCAAATTTTATGGTATGTTAATTATATCAGTTTTTTAGAAAAATCAGTGGAAGCTTTTTAGTGGGATACAAATCAGAGGTATAACAAATTGACGCCAAGCTTCAATAAATAAAATTTTTTGCTGAGTGGCTCTTTTTTCTGTTACAAGTCTTAGCACCTACAACAGTGATCAGCACTTGCTAAATACTCAATAAAAGTCTATTTGTTTGAATGATTATCAATAAGAATAAAGGGGAAAGAGGCACGGGAAATTAACAGGGTTGATATTTTAAAATCTGACTGTGACATCCGAAAGATTTCTCATAATCACATATAATAGCAAGAAAAAAACGTTATATTATTGTACAAGTCCAACAATTTTACTTTCCCTCTGAAGCAGGTAAACATTGAAGGTGGTAGGAAAGAGTCTGCACATGTGTTCAATTCTTTTTGTTTTTTCTCCTTTCTACCACACCTCCTTCCTTTTGCTAGCTCAAACTCTTTTATCAGTATATATTACTTGAAGCAAATTTATACTACTAGATATTTGATTAGAGCCACAGATGCAGAATCTGTTTGGAATTAAATTTAAATAAAACAAACCTAAATTGAAAATGCAAAACAAAAATAACAACAAATGCTTTTCTCTATAGCCAATGTCAGATTAAGCAAATCCTGCCTTAAAATGTACTGGATTAGCTAGGTACATGTTGTGGTGGTGCATGCCTATAATCCCAGCTACTCAGGAGACTGAGGCAAGAAGACTGCAAGTTTGAGACCAGCCTGGGCAATTTAGCAAGACTCTGTCTCTGTCTCAAAATAAAAATAAAAAGGGATGGGGGTTACAGCTCAGTTGTAGAGCACTTGCATAGCAGGTGAAAGGCCCTGGGTTCAATCACCAGTACCCCAACAAAAAGTGTTCTGTATTAACCAAAGGCCCTCTAAACATCTGACTCTGAAGCTGAGCATGGAAGCACACACATACCAGCAACTCTGGAGGCTGAGATAGGAGGATTGAAAATTTGAGGCCAGCCTAGGCAACTTAGTGAACCCCGGTCTCAAATAAAAAAGTAAAAACAGATGCAGAATGTAGCTCAGTGATAAAGTGTTGCTGGATTCAATCACCAGTACCACAAAAAAACTGGCCAATCACAGTAGCAGATAACCTTAATCCCAGTGACTCACAAGGCTAAGGTAGGAGGATAACAAGTTGGAGACGAGACTCAGCAACTTAGTGAGACTCTTTGTTTCAAAATAAAAAATAAGCCAGGGATGGTGGCACATGCCTGTAATCCCAGCTGCTTGGGAGGCTGAGACAGGAGGATCATGAGTTCTAAACAGCCTCACCAATGGCAAGGCCCTAAGCAACTAAGTGAGACACTGTCTCTAAAATACAAAATAAGGCTGGGGATGTGACTCAGTCCAGTGCCCCAATTCCCAGTACCAAAAACTAAACAAACAAGGGCTGGGAATGTAGCTCAGTAGTTAAGCACCCCTGGATTCATTCCGCAGTAAAATTTTTTTAAATATAGCTCATAAACCCTCACCTTAGACAAGTTTTCTAAGTAGGTTTTCCTAATCTCCCTTATTCTAAAGACTCTTCCCTGCAATCTGAAATCTATTGAGACCAAACTCATTGCTATTCTTCAGTTAACAAGGAGTTTATTATGAGTGATAAACAGCATATAACAAAAATGACAGAGCTTGCTCGAGGATAGCAAGTTTCTTTCCACGCTTCCTTTAAAACCCCAAACGAGGATGAAGAAAAAATGAAGAGGCCAAGTAGAGTAGAAAGTCTGACTCCTACAAGGACAGGAGAGAAAAAAAAGAAAAGACAGGAACCAACAGGTCCAGGACAAAGGGAATACTATTGTTGTCACTACCTTCTCCAGGACAGAAAATGCAACCCAAGAGAACATCTTTTGAGCATCTACTAAATGGTAGGTACTGTGAAATATACAAAAGCACAATTTATGCCCTCAAGGAGCTTGCCATCTACTGAAGAAGCAGGAATGTAATTATTTTAATTATAAAATCATTAAGTGCTAGAGAGAGGAACAATTTGCCCTGAGTACATCAGTGATTAATTCTGACTAAAGAATCAAGAAAAGTTTTTTAATTCTTTTTTAGTTGTTAATGGATCTTTATTTATTTATATGTGGTGCTGAAGACTTGAACCAAACTGAGCCACAAGCCCAGCCTTCAAGAAAAGTTTTGCTGCTGTTATATGGCTTATACTTTGAAGGATGTGTATGATCTTGATAGAGAAGCTGGGATGGTCATAGCAAGCTCAATGCACCAGCAAGAATCATACGTGAACATACAGCAATTCAACTGGAATGCACAACACATTATAAGTAGGCCAGGATGTAGCAGGAAAAACCTAATTAGGATCAAATTCAGAAAGATCTTAATTTCACACATTTGTAGTTGGAAGTTACTGGTGGCTTCATAGGGCCTTTTTGGCAACAAGGACAAATAAGAGTTGCTTAAGCAATGGAAAATAGAAATGGAGAGGAGAATGGACATCGTACAGAATTGACTGAACACAGAAAATTAAAACCAAAGAATGGCCAAAAACATTTACCCAGGGGCTGGGGTTTTGGCTCAGTGGTAGAGCTCTCACCTACTATGTGTGCAGCCTGGGTTCAATTCTCAGCACCAAAATAAAGATAAATAAATAAAGGCATTATGTCCATCTACAACTAAAGTGTATGCATATAAAATTTATTCTCCAAGATCTTTTAGAGCTAGCCGTGTAGTGCCCTCTGGTGGATAGATGACACCTCTCCAGCACTAACAATCAGTTCTTCCAATACTCTTAACACTATCCAGTCCACATAAGTTTCCACAAAATGATCACAACACACTATTCTAGCTGTATTTGAAGACAGACCTGAAATGCCTAACTAATCAAACAATAGGAAGTAATATAGTGATCAAATGCTAAATATGTTGGTGAACACTGACCTGAGAATTCAGAATACAACACAACTTGAGAGGTGGATTAATGCTTCCTGGATATAGAACACATCCATTTCTTTAACCTAGGATTTTTGGAGAAAAGAGCACTCAGGTCAGAGGTAATCATAAACAAAAACATTTGAACAGAAGAGACTGGCAAAGTAGATCAAGATATCCAGTAGGTTAGGTAATGAAAAACCTACAAAGGCTTGCACTAGTGAATGATGTAGTGCCTAAGAATTTAAGACCAATCTGATATTACAATATAAAATAGAGAAACTTATTAAGATGGTCAAGTAACTATCCAACAAAACTTAAGATACAAAAAACTGGGCACACTGGCACACACCCATAATCCCAGCAACTAGGGGGGCTGAGGTAGAAGGATCAGAAACTCAACATTAGCCTAGTTAAACTGATAAGACCCTGTCTCAAAATAAAATAGGGCTGGGGATATAGCTATGGTAAAATGCACGCAGGTTCAATCTCCCATACTGTGGGGGGATGGGGGGGGTTCAGTTATGACCCAAAGTTAGTTGGCTAAACATAAAGTGGTCACTTGCATAGCTGGAGAAAACAAAAGCTTTGAAGACATCTTTGTTAATTACGCTTTAGTATTTCTTGAGCCCATCCTCAAGTAGACATGAACCAGACCCCAATCTAAGAATATAAGGTATGGGAATGGATTTCATTTGCATGTAAGTTTTATTAGCGCACGTACACACTCTTAGATCATTCTAGTCTGGCCATTCTTTTACTATCCAGAAAACCCATCATTAACTAAATGCAGAATGTTCCTGGTTGTTATAATTTAACTCCTACTCCTTAATTTACAAGTGGCAACTTCCCCTTCACAACACCAGTTCTTCGGTAAAGTAAAACTAATAGCGATCTGCAATCTAAGAGAGAACAGGTAGATAAACGATCTTTACAGCCACAAGGCCAAACAATTTTTATTTTCAAAAACAACTTTATTCATGACACATATTTAAAAAAAATTCCCACCCCCTGGAAATGAGCTAAAAAAATAAACAAAATCCACCTCCCACCTCCCTGTTCCCACTTCCTCCCATTCCCTCCAAATAAAAGGGAAAAAAAGGCAAAGGAAAAAAAACAAAACAAAACAAAACTGAAAAACAAAAAACACCCCAAAACCCCCCAAAACAAGGTAGTGCATTTCCCCAGGGGGAAGGGGAATTTACACTGGAGCCGCTGGGAGCGGAACGGAGATCTTCCGGCTACAGAAACCTGCAAAGAAAGACACTCAAAACAGAAAAAGAAACACAAAAGGAAACAAAATAGATCACCAGGCAATCTGGAGGGGCAGGGAGCCGGAAAGAGGGTGGGGTGGGTGGTAGACCTGGCAGGACAGGAGCAGGCAGGCAGGGACTGTGAAAGGCAGGGAGAAGATGGAGGGAAGGTAACAAGCAGAACAGTTTGGTGTCCTTCCAGAGCCCTGGGTAAAAAAAAACCCTCCTACCACCCATGCCCACCTACCCTTGAGCAGCCCCCAAGGGGGTGAAGTGGGGCACGGAAACATGGGGAACAGCTTGCGCAGTTGAGAAGTGTCCATGGCGAATCCCCAGAGTGAATGAGCAGCCCCCTGCCCCACTCCCTGGGCCTTCCCCTACTCCCCAAAGCAGGTCCCTCCTCAGCAGTTAGTTATGGGATTCTCCCCCCTTCCACAGTATATCTTTTTTTTAAAAAATATTTTTTTTCCATCAAGGTCATCTTCTGTTTTTCTTTTTTTTTTTTTTTAATTCTTTTTTTTTTTCCTTCTTTCCTCTTTTTTTCCTCTCTCTCCTCCTAATACACACTTTTTTTAGTAAGGGGAATACCATGATGTCGCTCTAGCCCGGCCCCTGGAAGAAAGAAGGAGAGTTAGGTGTTAACATGATCACTAGATAGTTCAGTATAAGCCCCTCCCCGTGGGCCCTTGCCCCAGTTATTGTGAAGGGAAGGGGGGAAAAGAAGTTTTTCAAGTATCCTAAAACTGACTCCACAATCCCAGAATCAGAGAAACACCTGGCAAATAGGGGGCTAACAGGGCATTAATGGAATACTTTGCCAAACAGCAGCAATAAAGAAGTGCATCTGAGATAAAGGAGAAAGAAAAAAGGACCCATTGTTTATCCAGTTTTCAGTTCTCCACAGTTCTCAAACCCTATCTTATGAAAAGTCAAGGCTTATATGTGTGACCTATTTAGAGAGACAAAAGTAAAAAGCAAAGCCACAACTTGGGTACCACATTGGGCCTGTGAGAAAGTTAACCTCAAAAAAGACTAGGTCCATTAAATAATTAAGTATCCCAAAACCCTCCCACATGGCCATGGGAGAATTCAACTAGCCTCTGGTATCCTTCCAAAGAAGATTCAAACTTTTACCCCTCCCTAACTCTGGGAATAGTAGCAATGTCCAAGCAGTGCTTTTCACTGTCTTGAGACCCTGTTCTTTTCTTAACTTTCAATGTCACCTTCAATGCCACCAACTCCCAAGGGGGGGAAAAAAGGTTGGAGGGGGAAGCATCTCGCAGAATAGATCAGCACTTATCACCAATTTCTGCTCCAAAGATGATGAGACTGGCCTCCTGACCTGGCCTACAACTACCTTCCTCACCCTGCACAAGCAGGAGACCAAGTCCCTGGAGACCAAGGGGGAGGGAAAGGGAGGGTCGGTCCTCAGATCAGGAGAGAATGAAGCATAACAGGGCTCATGGGAGGCTGGGAAGAGGAGCAGCCCATCTATCCTGACCTGTAGACGCGACCCCGGGGCCTGCTGTTAAAACCACTGTAGAATCGAGAGCGGGAACTGTTGTAGTTGGTAGTCCGGGCACGGTAGCGGGCACGTGGGAAACCCCGGTCTGTTGTGCTGATGCCTGGTCTGTTGGTTCGTTTTGGGATCACCTGAGCAGAAAGAATACACAACAGAAAGCCTTAGAGTCAACTGGAGAGAGTTAGTTTATATAACCAGAACAAAGGGCACAGGCCTTACCTTGATTTGTCTTCCTCTAAATAAGGACTCATCTAAGGCCAGGGAAGTCCTCACTGACTCTTTGTCGGAGAACTCTATATATGCAAACCTGAAAAGAATAATTGTCATTTTTTTATCTGAGTTTACAATATTTCATAGGTTATTTGTTAGGAGTGTAACGTGTTTACATTTTTAATTAGTTGATTTTATTTTATTTTATTTTTTAAAGAAAGAGAGAGAGAGAGAATTTTTTTTTTTAATATTTATATTTTAGTTTTCGGCGGACACGACATCTTTGTTTGTATGTGGTGCTGAGGATCGAACCCGGGTCGCACGCATGCCAGGCGAGTGCGCTACCGCTTGAGCCACATCCCCAGCCCCTAATTAGTTGATTTTAAAATGAAAGGTTTTAATCAAAATTTCCAGCTATTCTTGGAAAAATCACTAAACACCAACATGTTTAGCCATGTGCGAGGCCCTGAGTTTAATCCCCAGCACCACAAAAAGACCAAGATTTCTATATGCTGGGGTCAACTACAAGCTTCTAGTTCTTCATCCTGCCCACACCTAGGCTTTAATTTTATCCTCTGTCTGGCCTCTGGAGGTATTTTATGTGTAACCCAGTACATTATCAAGTTTAATGACACATTAGAAGGCAAAGACCTCTTTTTTTTTTTTTTTGTGATGCTGGGGATTGAATCCAGGACCTTGTGCATGCAAGGCAAGCACTCTACCAACGAAGCTATACCCCAGCCCTTTTTTCCTTTCTTTTACATTTATTTTTTAGATTTAGCTTGACCCAATCTCTTTATATTTATGTGGTGCTAAGGATTCAAACCAGTACACCTCATGCATACTAGGTGAGCACTCTACCACTGAGCCACAACCCCAGCCCCTCTTATGTTTGTGTGTGTGTGTGTGTGGGTGGGTGGGTGTGTATGGTGGTGCTGCTGCTGCTGCTGGGGTTTGAACTCAGGGCTTTATGCATACTAGGGAAGCACTCTACCAACTAAGCTATATCCCCAACCCCCAAGACCATTTTTTTTTAAACATCAAGTAATTACCAACCAACATAAAACATAAATTATCGGTGGGAGTGTAGCTCAGTGATAGAACACATGCTTTGCATACACAAGACCCTGGGCCCTGGAGTTCAATCCTAGTGCTGCAAAACAAAAATTACACACATGTAGATGTGGGGAGACATCTACTTTTAAATTCTGATTAAAATTATCTTGGGCTGGGGTTGTGGCTCAATGGTAGAGTGCTTGCCTGGCACATGTGAGGCACTGGGTTTGACTCTCAGCACCACATAAAAAAATAAAATGAAATAAAGGTACTGTGTCTCCATCTACAACTAAAAAATATTCTTCAAACAATTATCTCAATTTATTCCCCTACTTACCCTTTGGGATGGCCACTAAATTTGTCACAGAGTATGGTAACACGATTGACTGAACCACAGCCATGAAAGTGAGCTTCCAGCTCTTCTGCTGTTGCACCATAGTCTACCTAAAGAGAAGGGATATTTCACAGGTACTGAGCAAACTCTTTTCTCAACAGGTACCCTGCCTGGCCTTTGGTCTGGGCCATCTCTATAACCCACAGCACATCAAATATGGTTCTCTAAGGAATTACCCTTTTTCTTCCATTCCCAGTCTTTGTTGATTACTCCATCACTTTTTACCTCCCCACAAACCTCCCTCAACCACTTTTAAAATTGCCAACTTATACTGGCGATCTTCCTTTCAAGATTATTAAATAACTGCCCCAAACAAGAATGTCCCCCAATCTCAATCAGAACCCCAATACATACATTGCCAACATAAATGGAACGGGCATCAGCCTCCATCTTCTCTTCAATAGACATGATCACTGGGCCAGCTGTAGACAAAAATAATTCAAAAAAGAAGTAGATTTTCTATTGAACCAATATATGCACTTCCACCACCACCGCCACCCTATCATTTCAGCAAAGAGAAAGACCTTGTTCAGTTCTGTTCCCTCTTGTACCCATTACCTAGATCAGTGCCTAGCACACAATATGTTCTCACTAAATATTAAGGAATAAATGAAATACATCCTTAACAATCAGAGAACAGTGTAAGAATACTCCACTCCCAAATCAAGCACCTATGAAGAGCTTTGTTAAAATGCCTTGAAGACCAAACAAAATTGAGTGGGCTGAGACTCGACATTTCTGGATTAAAGAGGCCCCCAGCAGCCTACCCACTTCTCTTAAGAGTCCTAACTAAAGGATCTCCAACTGAAAAAAAAAATTAGACTTGAAGGTCACATGCCAGCTGGCAATCTCCAGCCGGGTAAAGGCAGGCTAAGAACAAAGAGAAACACATTTATAACCGAAACAAAGGGAGACACAAGACTACAACTACCAAAACATAGGTTATGTCTCACAAAGGTCAACGGAACACACAATGGACTATGACCGCAGCAAATGCCCAGTAATTGCTCAAACAAGCAGCTCCAGGATCCGGAGCATCTAATGCCACATTCCCCGTGCTCCCCACAACCATTCCAACCCGAAGACCCAGGCTGCGCGTGCAACCGCCGGTTTACTCACCATTGCCTGGAGGTGGACTCATATTCATCTGCTTCTCTACCTCGTTCTGTAGTTCCTTCAGCTTTTCAGCTTCTTCCTCCATCTCCCTGACTCGAGCTTTGATAGCTTCAAGCTCCTACAATGAATGGGGAGGGCATGCAAAAGAGCTTAAGAGGAACCAACGCAGGGGCTGTGCCGTGCTCTCGATAGGCGCGCGGCCCCAGCCATGCTCGGCCATTTCCCTCGCCCCACGCGAGGGTCGTGATGAAAAGAAAAGCAAGTTACCTTCTCCGTAACAATCTTAAACACCCATGACGCCCAAATCAACACTGTCGGGCCCCTTGCGACGATCCAGGACCCGTCCCCCGCCCGGCCCCAGCCACGTTATTCCCCGCCCAACCCCACCCCCAGCCTGCCTCCCGCTCGCCCGCCCGAGCTCTGGGCCTCCCATGACCCGGCCGGTCGGCTGCTGCCCGCCTGCTCGCTCGCCCTCCTTCCCTCACCGGGTCCTCAATGGCGCCGTCCCCCGGGTCACCCTCGACTAGTCCCGGTTCTTCCTCCTCCTCCTGGCTGCCGGGGGCTCCCGAACCAGGCCCAGGGCCCGGAGCTCCCGGGGGGGCGCGGGGCCGGGGCGGCTCCTCTTCGGGCTCGGGCTCCGGCTCGGGCTCCAGCAGCAGCTCCCCAGGCTCCAGTTCCTCAGACTCCAGGCCGTTCCCGTAGTCCCCTGCGCCCCCCGGGGCCCCCTCCCCGGCCTCCCCACCGGCCCCGGGCACAAGATGGCGCCGCCGCCCCGGCCCGGAGCCCCGACCGCCCGCAGCCCCCGCTGCTGCTGCCGCCGCCGCCGCCGCCGCCATCGCCGCTCAGACTGGGGCCCGCCGCCCAGCGATTGGAGAACTGCGCGGGCCTCGCGGAGGATTCATTAGTCAAGCAACCTGCCCGTCACTCCAAGATAGCACTCCATTGGGGAGTATCAGTTGGCAATCAAATAAGACCCCACCTCTTAGGCGGGGCACTGTACCAAATTCTCAAATCCCGGTAGGGGAAACCTCTCTGTCAATCAACATTCGTCCCACCTCCTCTCGAGGCCTTAGGTAACAATACTGCCACGCTGTGACGACATTCCTGCTTCTCCCCCGCCTACGGGAGGGACCGCGAAGTATAGGACGTTCTGTGATTGGTCCCTGATTAAGATCAACTGGAAAGGACCAATCTTCCGATAGCCTCACAGCAGTAGCCCGGTCTCAGATGCCGATTGGCTTGCGAGATTCGAAGAGCTGACACTTGTAGCGTGACAGGTGAACCTTGCCCCCGAACGGGCTGTCGGACTTCAAGCTAGGTCACATGACTAGTCAGTCCTTAGGGAGCCGCCATCTTGACATTACTGCCGACACCGGTGAGCGTTGGAAGGCAGAGGCCCCATACAGGGTAGAGATTTCTGGAAGTTCCGACCAAGCACCAGTAGGTGGGATGCTGCCGGAATTAGAGGTTCTGAATGGAGCATTCTAAGGGGGAATTTTTCCAATTTCAAAGTTATTGGCACCACCATCCATTAAGTCTCCCAAACCACAAAGAATGTAAGAATCCTCACTCAGACCTACCAGTTCATAGACCTCTTTTCCAGGACCCCCGCGCTGCCTAATTTAAGCCTATTTCTTCTCTATTCTAGCCTGTTGCAGCCGCTATGGGGTTCTCCCAGCTTTCAATATCCGTCCAATCCTAACCGCTACCAGACTGGCTTCCCTTTCCTATCAGGTAAAGTCTCAAAATTCCTTACAGTGATCTTAGACACCCCAAGACCTACTATGCGAATTTTGTTGCCTGGCATCCAGACTGTGTATATGTAGTCTTTCCTCAACCAAGTCTGTGCAACCTTCCCCATCTCCTACAGCGGCCTTTCTGGTCCGGAGACCAATGGGCCTACCTCCTCAGTAACTTAACTGTTCCGTACTGAATTTCCTAAATAGGTGGTGAGTACCTGCAGATAAGAGACTGAATCTTATTTATGTTTGTATCTCCACTGCAGGATGCCTAGTACGTGTTAATAATACTGGGTATTTGTTGATTGAAAGATGCATTGTTTGGGGATCTAGGTGCCACCTCTTCATCTTTTGCAATTTCCCAGGCTCCAAGTCCCCTTTTAAGCCCCAGAGGAATTTCTTGGGGCAGGTTCCCACCACACTGCTGCACTCTAAGATATCAATAACACCTGGCCCTGGAGAAGGCAAGGTTTCCACATTTGAGTAGCGATCCTACACACTTATTAAAATGTAAAGAATGGTGGTGCTAAGTTTACAAGAATTTTTTTATGGGGAGACCAAAACTACAGGCAGGTTTGAGAGTCAGGTTCACAAGAACCCAACCCAAAAGTTAAACAAGTATGATTGGAGCATCAGAATCTGGACAAGAGAAGATCCAAAAAGTAAGAAGCACTCATTATACCCCTTTTTCCATGGTCCACTTTTTCTCCCACTTCCTTACCTCAGGAACTGAGTTACTTTGAGCAGAATCACAGTCACTTAAATTTCTTGTGCAATTTTCATCAGCCATCTCAGCTTCAGTGATCTAGGAAAACTAAAGTTGAGCACGAAAGACAAGCTCTAAATGAGTTCTCTGGAAGGAGGAGTGTCTTTTATACTGATCCTAACCTAATCCAATTCTGAGTGCTTCACTGTTGCATAATTTAAGCAAGACTACTAGGGAAATGGGATTTTTTTCAAAATGCCTTTGAATCCTGTTAAGTACTTGATTTTGTAGCAGGCACTATTCTTTGTATAATCTCATTGAATTCTCACAATTCTGTGAAATGTAAATATTTCCACAAACAATAACCTTTCTAAGTAAAGAAGAAAAAGGGCTGAAGAAGTAAAGTAACTTGTCAGTGTCATAAAGCTAATTTATAGTGTGCAGGGAACTCGAAATCAGCTTTCAAAGCTTAGATCAAAATTAATGCCAGCAGAGCAAGATGGTGTATGCCTATAATCCCATAGTGCACACCTATAATCCCATAATACACGCCTATAATCCCAGCAGCTCAGGAGGCTGAAGCAGGAGGATCTTGTGTTCAAAGCCAGCCTCAGCAATTTAGCGAGGCCCTAAGCAACTTAGTGAGACCCTGTCTCTAAATAAAATACAAAATAGGGCTGGGGATGTGGCTCAGTGGTTGTTGAATGCCCCTGAGTACAATCCCCAGTACCAAAAAAAAAAAATTAATGCCAAAAACTGTGGTGTACTCCTGTAATCCCAGAGGCACAGGAGGGTCTCAAATTCAAGCCCAGCCTGATCAGCCTAGTGAGGAATTTAGGGAGACCCTGTCTCAAAAAAAAAAAAAAAAGTACTGGGAATATAGCTCAGTGGTAAGCACTGCTGAATTCAATCCCCAGTAACGACTAAACAAAATAAAAAACTACTATGTCTGATTTAATACAAAAAATTAGATTATGATATTATATTGAAAACTGGAAAAGGTATAAATCCCAATAATGCTTAAATTAAGCATTATTACATAATTATTACATAATTATATCCAAAGATTATTTTGTTTCTAATAAAAGGTCTGTACATTATGTGTGTAACATGCAAAATGATGTCAGGTCAAAGTAGTAGAAGATAAAATTGTATATAAACTATGATTACAAATGTATGTATATCTGAAAGTTTAAAAAATTACAATTAAAAAAAACTTCAACATGGGAGAAAAAGAAACAAAAACCAATGCCATCTTTTGATTCTTTATCAATATGCAAGAAAAACTATAATAAATATTGAGATTTGCCTGGTGTGATAGCACATGCCTATAATTCCAGCAATTTGGGAGGCCAAGACAGGAAGATCAAGTTTGAGGCCAGCCTCAGCCACTTAGTGAGACTCTCAGCAATTTAGTGAGACTCTGTCTCAAAATATAAAAAGGGCTGGGGATGAGGGCTGGGATTGTGGTTCAGCGATAGAGCGTTTTCCTAGCACGTGTTAGGCCCTGGATTCGATCCTCAGCAACACATAAAAACAAACAAATAAATAAATAAAATAAAGGTATTGTGTCCAACTACAACTAGAAATAAATATTAAAAAAGAAAGAAAGAAAAGGCTGGGGATGTAGCTCGGTGGTAAAGTGCCCCTGAATTAGATCCCCAGCACCAAAAAAAAAACACAAGTTGAGATTCTTAACCCATAATTCTATTCATTTTCTTTTCTTTTTTTGGTACCAGGGATTGAACCCAGGGGTGCTTAATCACTAAGCCAAATCCCCAGCCCTTTTTATTTTTTATTTAGAGACAGGGTCTCACTGAGTTGCTTAGGGACTCACTAAGTTGCTGAGGCTAGCTCTGAACTTGTGATCCTCCTGCCTCAGCCTCCCAAGCCACTGGGATTACAGGCATGTACCACCACACCGGCACATAATTCTATTTCTTATAATTGGTTCTTAAGACGTAATCAAAAGGTGAATAAACAATTGTGAATTGTTATGGTCTGGATATGAGGTGTCCTCCCAAAAGCTCTGTGGTAGGCAATGTAGGAATGTTCAGAGGTGAAATGATTAGATCATGAAAACTAACTTCATCAGTGGAGTAATCATTTGATGAATAAATAATTTAAATGGACCACTGAGTGGTAACTATAGGCAGTGGGGTGTGGCTAAAGGAAATAGGTCACTTGGGGTTTGAGACTGTGAGTCCAAAATAAACTTTTTCTCTTCTCAGTTGTTTTTGTTTGATATTTTGGTCAAAGCAAAAGGAAAAACTGATTAACATATGAACAAAGATGTTTATCAGAGTAAAAAAAACATAAAAAAATAAACTACTTAAAATGTCCTAGTGGGAATAAAATTATTATACACACACATATGTAATTTTATATAGTCATTAGGCCTTGAAAATGTTTTAATGACAAGGAAAAATGCTTGCAATATAATAGTAAGCAGAATTATATACAAAATTATATGTGCAGTATGATCACAAAACCACAGATAAGAGACTGGAAAGAAATAAACCAAAATGTTAGTAGTAGTTCTCTCTGGTAGTAGAATTATGATTAATTTTCTTCGTTTTGTTTTTTTTTTTTTTGGAACCAGGGATTGAACCCAGCAGCACTCACCCACTGAGCCACATCCCCAGCTCTTTTCTTCATTTATTTTGAGACAAGGTCTTGCTAAGTTGCTTAGAGCCTTGTTCAGTTGCTGCGGCTGTCTTTGAATTTGTGACTTTCCTGCCACTAGGATTACATGCATGCATCGCCACACCCAGCTAATTTTCTGCTTTATAATTTTCCGTTATGATTTTTCAAAATTAACACATAATTTTAAAAAATTGCTCCAACTTGCACGCTTTTTCTAGTAAGCATGATTACTTTATCAAAGAAACAAACACATTGAAAAGGATATTTGAGGGCTGGGGTTGTGGCTCAATGGTAGAGTGCTTGCCTAGCATGTGTGAGGAACTGGGTTCAATTCTCAGCACCACCTATAAATAAATGTATAAAATAAAGGTCCATCAACAACTAAAAACATGTGTATGAAAAAATCAATTTAAAAAAAGGATATTTGAATGTGATTTCTCTTTCCCTATGAGATTCTAAGTGGTAAAAGGGATATCTTAATTATATTTGTATTCCCTTTGCCTATCATTCTGTACTATATAAATGTTAACTGAATGAATGAACCTATTTAATATTTTGCCTCATGTTGATGAAGAGACTATCAAGGAGTTTTTCTCTGAAATAAATTTTTAAGAATTCATATGTAATGTTAAGAGTTTCATCATTATGAACATTCTTCTCCTTAAGTTATAAGCTATAAATAAAGGATGATAGTTTTGGAAAAACTGAAATTCCAGTGCCCCATCCAGAAGAGGGGGGAAAAAATGTGTTAATAGAAG